GGGGGGGGGGGGCGAGCGAACCCTCTGAACCGGTGCAAAGGGAGTCACCAAGTTCCATGTGTAGGAAGAAGAGTGAACTGAGTATTTAGTGACTAGAGTGGACTGAGAGAGACTCTGTTGCACTCACACATCCCATTCTTATTTTCTGGGAGACTTAGTCTCTCCTACCCATTCTACCCATCCCTGCTTGCAATTGGGCAGGGACACGTGACTACTTTTGGCCAATGGGTTGAGTGACACATCCATGATGAAAAATTTAATTGCTGGTGCATGACATTTTAATGCTCACTTCCCTTGCCATAGTGGGGAGGCCTGGCGTTGAAATGATAGAGCCACAAGGCAATCAGCCTGGATCACAGAGTCACCATTTGGAAAATAGTTGTCCTTACAGATTGCCAAGACTCATAGTGGAGTCTGGGTGAGAAGGAAATAAACTTTTGTTGTGTTAAGCCTCTGGAATGTAGAGTTCTTTGCTACTGTGGCATAACCAGCCTGTCTATATACAAATGGGAATGCAAACATTTTGGATATTTCTGCTTGAATGCAACTTTAAAAATGTATGAAAATGGTCTTCAGGGGACTCATGACCCTCTAAAATTACATTAAAAAATCCAGTGCATATGTTTTTCTGAGAATTTTCCTTCCCATCCTCTATACTGCCATTAGCAGGAGAGGGCCCCAAAATTAAAACCCACCTCTTCCCCAACACTCATATCTTCCCTTTGGGACTAGCAGGACCTTAATTCCCATATGGCTCTGTGGATAATATTGCTTGATTTTTCTCCATGTCATTTGCCATTTGATATCTTTTCCTTACTCTTCATTTCTTAGAATGTCTATTTCCTCACTTCTTGGAGATTTCTATTTCCTGTGGTCAGTGCTGTATCCTCAATGCCTACCACACAGCTGGTATTCGATAAATACTTACTAAATTATTGAACAAATGAAAGACAGGCTATAACTTTCATTATAATCTCAAAGGGCTACATGATCCAAAAAAGGTAAAACACAAACAAACAGTTAAACAAAATATTACCTAATGATCCTTTATCCTGCCTACATAACCCAAACATTTCAAGAAACATCTGAAAGGAAGAAGACTAGCCCTTGGTAGATAATGAAATCTGAGTGAAATGGCCCATTTTAAGATAATTTATTCTGAAACAATGAATTTCTAAAAATATGAAGAATATTTTGAATATAGCTAAGTAAATAAATATGTTGATAGATGAAATATGCTATCAATAATGTGTGCTGCAAAAAATGCCAGGACCAATCTTAAAATATAAAGTAAATAAGAATTTAATCTTTATTATGCATGTTTATACAGGAACATCAAAATAATGCTCAATAAGTTACATAGCTATTTTCTAAAAACACTGCAAAAAAAAGTAAAGATAAAACAGTAGGAATGATATATTACCCAATATTACTCAAAATTAAAAATATAGTTATCTATCTTTTAAACAGATTTGATGAATTTTACATCAACCAAAACATTTTAAATATCTAAAAATAGTCTTTATGCACTATATATAATATATAAATTGTTCAGTTTTATTGCACATACATATTTGGTTTACACTTATTTATCAGGTAACATGCAGATAAATAAATTATGAATATGAATTTAAGAAAAATAGGCAGGATGTTATTTTATACTATAAAAATGAGATGAAAATGATACATTTCACAGCTTAATCTTCATGAAATTTTATTTAGCTATTGTATAAAATCACTGAGTAAAATCACATGCGAGCTAAGAGCTATTAAATATTATACTGCAAAATAGCTCTGTTGGCACATTTAAAATAAGAAAACAGGTATCAACTAACTACCCTTAGAACTGACACCAACTACCACTCTCCTTGGCCACCCAAAAAGGTGGTCTTCAAGTCAGGTTTAAAAACATTAAATGACAAAATCTTAAATATAGGCATATACATGTTTATGTCAAAAAGTCACATAATTGGCACGATCAAAATTTTATTTTAAATATGGAAAAAAATAAGGGAAACTGGGCTTGACATACCTTCTAAACCAGTTTCTAAATAAAGCTAGTGAAACTTCTCTGTTTTACTTTTTAAATTCATTTGGCCAAACACTATGGTTGGTGTTTTGAGGATCTGTAAACATTCTCATTTATTTGTAGTTTCCTGAGGTCATCTGGAAACTATTGTTATTATAGTAGCTTCACAATTTTGTACCCCTGCAAATGTGCTTTGGAAATATTAAAAATAAAAACAAAAACTTAAATGCAGACCCATGTGTAACTTAACATACCTTCTCTTTTTACAAAAGCTATCATTAGAAAATTCTTAGGTTTTGAAATGAAATTTATTCCATTATCAACAGACCTGGAAAAGCATTCATAAATTCTAGGCCATAAAAAAATAGATTTTAGAATTAGCTCACTTAACATTATGGGAAAGGAAATAAAAGCATTCTATTTGTATGTTTCCTATGAGATGTGTAAAACTTATATAGGCCTTTCCATTTCAAAACATGTTAAAATAGTGTTAGCACAGTGCCTGACCCATACCAGATATTTAATAAATACATGTATAATGAAAAAATGTGAAGTTAAGCATAAAAACTACTGCAGTACTTCAGTACTGAGGTAATGTTCTGAAGCTATAATGTATCACTCAATGAAAAATCAGTTTTCACTGGTATTCAGAATAAAGCTTAAAATATTTCCTATTTGATAAATACAGCACTAATGCATTTTCTAGGATCTATCAACAAAAAGAGGAACTAGGCACTTTCCTTGATTCTGGCAACAGAAAAGAATGCTTGTTTCCTTCCTTCCTTCCCTCCCTCCCTCCTTCCCTTTCTCTCTTTCTTTTTTCTATCAATGATACAAGAAGCAGGTGACCATCCAATGAAAAGTACGTGCCTCTTAATAGTATCTTTTCTAAGAGAAAAATGAGGGGACAATATTTACATTTCGGGGAGCATATGATAATTGTCATTACCAAGATGACTGACTTGAGTAAAGAGATTTAACTAGTATTTCTCAAAAAATTTTACTGTTCTGGTACTGAAATCTTCAATGTTAATGGATTACAATTAAACAGAAATACTAATTTAAACTACCTTTTATAAGACAAACAACCTGAGTTTGCAGATTAACGGATAATATAAAGATATATTTCTCCATCATTTCACTGTTAAAAATCAAGAAAAAAATACTACTATTGAAATTCCAACAGCTTAAAAATAGAATTTGTGCCATAATTTTAAGTTCTACATTTTGTATATTATCACCCTCTTTAACAATAATCACAATTCCATTCATCCATATATCAAAAGGCAGCACTGGTAACCTTGATAATGTTATATGTACTTACATGTTAAAAAGAACCAGAGTCTTGGTCAAATAGTTCCATTGTTACTTCCAGCCACTATTCTTTTCCTTCCCAAGAGGAGAACTGGGGGTAGGCACTTACCCAGCACCTGCCTGTAGTATCATTCCTTAGCACTAATGGTTAGGATGCTTGAACCATGCAATTACACATTTTGATTCAATCAAGTGACACCAATAAGTGATTATTTTTTTCAAAATTTAAGCCCAAGCAAGAGTAATATTTTCATGCCAAGTTTTGACAGCTTAATAATTTGCATTCTAGGGGGAAAACTATCATATCTTTGCTATTATTTAATTATTTAAAAAGAAAATCAGAAATGCCAACTTCATGTCCCATTAAAATAAAAGCTAAACTCACTTGAACTTATTAATGATGCTTGTTGAATACAAAGTGATCACAAAACCCTAATGCCATGATTAATATTTACTGATCTACAAAACTAAAAAGAAATGTATTATACTACCCTGTTAACTATAAGAATTCTCTACCATTTACAAATTTAATTTGGTAATTTATATTTCAAAGTTATCCTATGATCTCATACAGATTAACAACTTCTATTTATCAATTCTGCGTGTAACAATTATCTATAATGATATTTTGACATTGGCTAATCACTTGCAAATTATCCTCAACTCCACTACGAATAGGTTACAAATAATATGTTGATGAAATATTTCAATATTTTTTTAAGTTCTCAAAACCACAATGAGCTAATCAGTATATTATTTGTAAATCCATATTGCTGAAGTTACAGTGATACCTTTTCATATGGCTGAATCATGCAAAATATGACACGGTCACTATGCCTACTGTGTAAGTATACGTGACAGCGATATTCCCACACAGTAGCATACATATACCACTGGATAGTCCTGAGATGATTTTAAGTGAATTGCTACATGAATGAACAATTTTTCTTTAATAGTTATACATTTATTTTAAAGTTTATTAGAAAAAAATACAGCTAGCACATAAAATGTTGAATATGCTCAAAACAGGGCTATGGTTAAAAAAAAAAGGCTAAAAATATGGTTAAAAATTATAAGTAAATAATGGCATTGGAGATACATATATATCGGAAAGGTGGTATGTGACTCACATTTGGGTAACACTGTTCTGTTTTTTTTGTTTTTTGTTTTTTTAACACTGTTTTGTTTTATTATTAATATATTTTTTATTGATTTTAGAGAGAGAGGGAGAGAAAGAAACATGGACCACTTGCCTCCGATATGCACCCCAAATGGGAATCAAACCCACAACCTGGGTATGTGCTGTGACCAAGAATCAAATCCAAAACCTTTAGGTGTATGGGACAATGCTCCAACCCACTGAGCCACCCGGCCAGGGCTGGATAACACTGTTTCAGGGAAGGATCTGATTTAGCCAGCAGCATTTCTGCATGTTTGTAACAGTAAGTCACATCATAAAGGAGTTTCTCTACTACTGTAAATTCTAGTTTTGTTCTAGGACAAACATTTTTTTTTAAAACATGTGTTTACATTTATTTAAAAATATAAATCTGAAAGCATTGACTAAATTTAATTTACTTTAAAAGGATTCGCCCAAATGGTAAAAATGTTCAGGAGCATCTGAGGGGCATGCTATTCCTACAGAAGAGAACAGACTACAAAGGCACGTTGCATATTATAGTTATCATGGCAGCATTTAAATAAAAGTGATCTAAGTAATCATTACCCTTAATAATTAACAGATAATTAAAATATCCTTTCATAAAAAAGAAGATATGCTTGTGCACTAAGTGCTCTTGATTCTGGAACCTCCTGTACGTAAGTGTCACTAACGTGGACCCACTGGTCTGCTGATTCACTATCAGGTTCTTTCAAGCCTAATAAAACAAAAAGAAGTATAATTTTACAATAGTATGTTCTTACTTTACATTATAAACAACAACATATTAATCACAAACTAGATTTATTTAGTGCTAGATCTTATTGCATAAGTCTGTTTCTTCCTAAATGAACTAACTCTTTCAAAACATTAATATGACTATCATTTTACTCTAAAAATCTAGTGAAATATTAGATAGCCTTGTAAATATTTATTGAAGTTTCAGGAAAATCATTTTCACTTAAAGATAAACAATAATAACAACAAAACAAAATTAGTTTGCTGATCCATAAGCTAAGTCAGCAAATTTTCAATTCCAACTCTATTCTGAGGACCTGGTATGTCTACAGAAACTTTTGGTATTGTTAAATAAAATGCTACTCCACTGCAATACATGATGACTTAGCACCTTGAAAAACTGTAGCTTCACATCGACTAGAAGGGTACAGTCTTAGGATATTTAAGAGTCTTTAAGATTATCTCATACTCTTAAATGTAATTCTCACTTAACAAAGTGAATCCACTTGAGTCATCCAGGAAATAACTTACCTCTTCCAGAAAAGGAAGAATAAATTCATTTGTTTTTAAGAATAAAATAAACTTAGAGTAACATACCAGGTACACTTTTCTTTCCAGTGATATGTTCCAGTAATTTCCTGGAGGGTGTTCTCACTTTCACATATGCCGTGTAGTGACCTCCTCTCATTGAGCCACTGTGTTCCACTACGCCATACAGACCATAGAGAACTTTCTCTCCCATGCTTACATTCTTTAGACCAAAAACAGAGAAAAAGTTAGTAAAATTTAGTGAAATAGTATTGTAAGAAAAATTAAGTCAAATGCGTGTCCTACTTAACGTAAGACAATAGCATATTAAAAATACACTGATCAGACTGGCAAAATCAAATGCTGCATAACATCCTCTGTTGGATGCTATGGGGAAAGAGTGCTCACACACACTACATGTGGGAATGCACACACAACCCTATGCTGGGATATTCAATGTCATCAAGCTAAATTACATATGCATTACTCTTGGGTTTATCCTATTGGATATGAATTCATTTAAGATTTTTCATTTATGATATAATTAGAGATATGTACACTGGATGACAAAAAGAAATTGTTCATTTGCTTTAGTGTGAAAGTGGTATTGTGGTTATGTTAAAAAGGGGAGTGCTCCTATCTTTTAGAAATACATAGTGAAATATTTATAAATGAAATGATGCTTCAAAATAATTAAAGATCCCAGCCGGGCGTGGCTCAGTGGTTGAGAATCTACCTAGGATCCAGGGGATCGGGGTTCGATTCCCAGTCAGGGCTCATGCCCGGGTTGCGGGTTCGATCCCCAGTCGGGGGCGTGCAGGAGGCAGCCAATCAATGACTCTCTCATCATTGATGTTTCTATCTATCTCTCTTCCTCTCCTTTCCTCTCTCTGAGATCAATAAAGAGATATTTTAAAAATAATAATAATAATAAAAGAGGAGGTAGATGAGCATGTGGATGGGGCAGGACGGCCACGTATCTAAGGTTTTAAGGCTGGGTGATGGGTGAAAGAGGTTCACTGTACTGTCCCATCTACTTATGTGTATGTGGGAAATTCTCCATAATAGGTACTTTTAAAAAATGTTTTCATAAGTTTACTACAGAGCTTGTTAAATTTCATTTTATTCACCACATTATTAAATTCTATGAATATTGAGTGTTAATAACTGACAGATAGTGTTGGTATTCCACAAATGAACTGGATTCACCGAAAAATTGCATTTAAGATGTTTTTGTTTTTGTTGATTTGCCTAACCATAAAATCTTGTGGTTAAAAAAAAAAGACATTTTTGTTTTGATTGATCAATATATTAAAAATATTAAGTTCAGTAAGCATTCTCTTATATAACACAAAACCTAGACTACTACCCAGTAATCATAAACAGGACATATGTTAACCCATAACTGTTTGGTTCCCTCAAGGAAGTCAAAGTCATCGATTTCACCTACACAGGTCTTATATACAAGTACAAGCAATTATAAACCAGTCTGCTTTCTATACCTAATTTTTAAAATTTTAGTAATTTAGAAGTATCATATTCAGCTGACAAGTACACTATTCTCAGTAGTGTTCCTGAAATGGAATTTAAAAAGCAATGCACTAGTATACTGATTTGCAAAAGATAAAGACCTCAACAAACGATGCCATTTATGCATACCATTCACAAGGACCAGGCTAGGGCACAAAATGTGCTCACTTCTCTTAGCAGTTATCAGCTTCTAGTAGCATTTACAAGCAGCTTTAATCTTCATGACCACCAGGTCTCATGCTTTTGATTTTCCCTTAATCTATCTCTCAAAGGACAAAAGTCATATTCAGTGTGTTAAATGTTCCACATGTTACTGATTTACCTTCACTAACTATAAAATTCCCTTTCAGATGAGCTTATTTTTTTAAAAAAGGAAAGAAAGAAAAGCATAACAATCATAGGATACTTTAAGCATATTATTCACAAATCAGTTAAGTATTTTAACATTATACTATACCTTACAAGCAGCAGAACAGAATGGTGCTAAATCAAGCATAAGTGGAAAATCTACATGTCTGTTTACTTTGCGAAGACTCAATCCAGCCTAAAAAGACACACACACACATACAAAATTAATGTCACAAACTCAATCTAAATTATTGTGTTTGTTATTTAAAACTAAAAGAAGGCCAGCCAGCATGGCTCAGTGGTTGAGTGTTGACCCATGAACTAGGAGGTCACAGTTCGATTCCCGGTCAGGGCACATACCTGGGTTGCGGGCTCGATTCCTAGTACGGGGCGGGGGGAAGGCAGCCGATCAATGACTCTCTCATCATTGATGTTTCTTTTTTTTTAAATATATCTTTGTTGATTTCAGAGAGAGGAAAGGAGAGGGAGAGAGAGAGAGAGAGAAACATCAATGATGAGAGAGTCATTGATGAAGCCTGCAACCCAGGCATGTGCCCTGACCAGGAATCGAACCCCGATCGTCTGGATCCCAGGTCGACACTCAACCGCTGAGCCACGCCCGGCCGGGCTCTCATCATTGATGTTTCTATCTTTTCTCTCCCTCTCCCTTCCTCTCTCTGAAATCAATAAAAACATATTTTTTAAAAAGAGGAATCCTAGAAGTTATATTTTATATAAATATAAAAATGATTAATGAATAGTCCAAAATTGATATATGACCAAGTTTTTAATTAGGTTTCATAAACTGTTACTGCAAATATCAATTATTTACATGTGCATTTTTACCACAAACAATATGGGTATTCAGTTTGTTTGCCTAGTTTTTTCTCATTGGGTGACCTCTGTAAGCATCCAGTATGGGCACTGCCAGGGACCCTTTAGGGTAATGTGCCCTCCTCCCCAGATGGTACTTGGTTAAAAAACTACCCAGCCGCTGAGCTGCGACCGAGGATCCAGGAGATCGAGGTTCGACCCCCCAGCAGGGCACTTGTGGGTTTCGGGTTCGATCCCCAGCAGGGGTGTGCAGGAAGCAGCCGATCAATTAATCTCCCTCACCATTGATGTTTCTATCTCTCTCTCTCCCTCTCCTTTCCTCTCTGAAATCAATAAACACACAGTTTAAAAAAAGAAACTACTCCATAATAGGAGAGATTTTATAAAGGGCCTTAATATAGGATGAATTTTTTTCAACTTATAGTGGGCATACAATATTATATTAGTTTGAGGTATATAACATAGTGATTCAATACTTATATACCTTACAAAGTGATCGCCCCAATAAGCCTAGCAACCATCTTGAATCTCTTTTTCTAGGGGATGATTTTTGTAAAATACCTTGCCTTACATTTGGACATATGCAGTCTCCTGCCTTGTAAAATTTTTCCTTTTACCTGAATATCATAGGTATTTTCCCCATGTCATTAAAATATAAATATGATGTCCTGAATATTGGACAGTTGTGCTAGGCCTCACAGCTGGCATGGTCCATAATGACTGAGATACACGTTTTTGTGTATGTCTCTATTTCCTTGTAATAGGTTCTTAGAAGTGGAATTACTTAGTCAAAAGTAATACTTTTGTTCAAAAATGTTTTATTCAAAACATTACCTAATGTCCTTGAACTGTATTATTAAATTGCTTTCTAGGTGTCACCAGCTTGCACCCCCACCGCTGGAACATGAGAGTGCCTGTCTCCCACTTCACCCTTATCAGCACAGCCATATCTGGGTCAAGCTGAACAGGTTAAAAAGGAAATCTCACTGTCATTTTACTTTGCTGGAAAGGATGGGCCATTTTCTTCACACTTCCTTAGAATTTTTACTTCTGTGAACTGTCAATTCATGTTCTTTACCATTTTTCTATCAGGGTCTTGATATTTTTCGTACTGATCTTTAGGAGTTATTTACATATTTATGATGCTAATCATTTGCCATATTTATGACAAAGATCTACCTCTATTCTGGTTGAGATTGGCCTTTCAGTGTGGTCAGTGTTTCATAGACAGCTCTGAAGTTACTACAGGGAAATAGGCTTTCAGAGGCAATAAATACTAAAAGCAGAGACACTGTCTAGAGTCTGCTCCCTGTAATTCCCAGTCCCTGGGAATGAAATGTGGCTTTGTGACATTACATTTAGCCTGAGAGAGCAAGAAGGGACCAAGATGTCCATAAGAGCATGAATTCCTGCTGTAAGTTGTTCCTAAATAGGGATACAATTAATTAGCAAGTATAAAATAACTAGCACATCATGCAGTTAGCTTCCCACACCCTATCTTGTTCAGTCACTGCAGATATACACCTGCTGTTAGGCGTTGATACAGTGAGACCCAACACACTTCTCCACGGCCACTTCATTTCGTTAAGTTTCTACAACCTTGGCGACGGGAAATCAGGAACTTCACCTACTCTCTCCTCGGATAGGACGAGTCGAGGGAACCCTCTTCCGCCCACCTGTGGCCCACCTGAAAGGGTGCAGGCATTCAATCAAAGCTATTCACCTTTTCCCTCGAGATTTCTTTTATGGGTTTTATACTTAGAAAGCCTTCCATACAGAGATCAGGTTGATATTCATTTAAGTTTTCTTCTAGTCTTTTGATAATTTGTTTCATACAATTAAAAGAATCCACCTGAAAATAGTATCGATATATGGTATAGAGAGGGTAGCTATAAACTTTTATTTCCTTCAACAGCTATTTTTCTTTCCTAAGTCCTTAACTGAATAATACAGCCTCCTTCCCAACTGATTTCAGGTTATTTCCTTATCATAACAAAAGAGCTTTAAATTATACTCATGTTTTATATGACAATCCTGATCTGTTTTACTTATAGTTTTATTTTAAAACAGGTTTTTTTAAAATCCCTTCTAATTTTTGCAAAAATGTTTTAGTATTTTCACTTATTCATTCCTCCAGAGAAATATTAAAGTCATTTTATCAAATGCAAAAAAAAAAGTGAGACAAGGCATTGAATTAAAAGTATAAAAAAAAATGGAGAAAAACCTGATAACCTGATATGTTGAAAATATTTATTGTAGAGTCCTACAGGGGTGCAGCCTGCCTTTCAGCCTTTTTTGCCTTAGGCCTAGTCAGCCATGCCAGCCCTCACAGCCCTCACTGGAATCTGAGAGCTCAGAAAGCTATGTGCACTTTGCTATTTACCTACTTCTAAGGGATTTTTTTTTAAGGGTTCTTAAAAATTCTCATTTTCCATTGGCAAACACAAACACATCCCACTTGGGTTCCTACCACCTAAATCTTTAAACATTGTGAGTTAAACAATTTTAATTAGAAAAGTCTTGTAAACTGTTACAGCTGAAAAAGAAGTAAATTCCATATGACAAATTTTTAAATGCAATAAATTAGTGCCTAATCCTTGACAGTATTTTACAAGACTTAGGGCTCTACAAAACATCTGATGTAAATTACTATAGTGCTACTAAAGGGACTTTTACCTGATGGAATCTTTTAAGGTGGAGTATTAGAATAACTGGAACAGCAGAAATGAGCAGCTGCTTCCTGGCATTAGTATAAATCCCTTCTGCTTTCTTTTCTGTATAAAATACAATAAATTTATTTGTAAGATTCCATTTTATACATTATCTACCGCATAACATAGTCAACATTTATATAGAAGCATTGTGTCACATTTTTGAAAGTATTAAAAAAGAAATTAGAATGAACTGTTAATAAGTGTAGTAGGATGGATGAATCCCAAAGCATTATGCTAAGTGGCAAAGAAGCCAGAGACAAAAGGCTATATGTTATATGGTTCCATTTATACGATATCCTGGAGAAGGCAAAACTATAGAGAAAAGAATCAGATTATTGAGTGCAAAGGACTGGAGAATGGGGGAGATTAACGGCAAAGGGGCACAAGGAAACATTTTGAGGCAACAGAAATGTTTTATATCTTCATCGTAGTTAGTTGCAGGACTGTACGTTATCAAAACTCATTAAACTGTACACTAAAAAATAAATTTTATTGTATGCAAATTATATACTATATGCAAATTCTATTATGTGCAAATTCAGTAAACCAGATTTTTTAAAAAAGCAACTAGAGCCTGGCCGGGTGTGGCTCAGCGGTTGAGCATCGACCTAGGATCCAGGAGATCATGGTTTGATTCCAGGTCAGGGTACATGCCCAGCTTGTAGGCTCGGTACCCAGTAGGGCCCACAGGAGGCAGCCGATCAATGACAACTCTCATCATTGATGTTTCTCTCTCTCTCCCTCTCCCTTCCTCTCTCTGAAATCAATAAAGATATATTTTTTAAAAAGGAAGAAATTAGACTGCTGGTTACAGGGTGCCTCTACTCCTTCCAAAATCACTAAAATGAAAGTTGTTTATTTTGTTTTGTTTTTTTAAAGGCATGCACTTATATAAACAAAGAATAGGTGAGATGACACTTGCAATACAGTTTTTGGAAGCTGGCAAGAAAATGGACTATAATGACTTAGGACAAGGGCCTCCAGCCAAAGGCCACCAGAAACACACCTGTAGTTGATAAAATTGGCTCAATATTTGTTTCAGTGAAAGGAGAGCTCGTGTCGTGAGGACCATGGGGAATTTCAATAAGAGGCTGTTAGAAAGGCCTTGTGATAGGATTTGAATATGACCAATTGCATATTTAACTTGTATTAATATAAATTGGTATTTCTTCCTTCTCCCATTTAGACATTTCCTTAATTAACAGTGTATTAAGCATGTCTTTGTTTTGATGCTTTGACAATTGGGGCCTTGCAGACACTGGAAGGAGGGCTTCTCCCAGAGCTAATTCCTAGAGATGGTGAACATTAAATGTGGCTTTCATATGCAAACTAACCAATCTAAAACACACCTCAACTACCACCTGCCCTAATCACATCATGACCAAGTTCTAGACAATGAGAGATAGCCCCTATAGCCCAGAGCCCAGTCCTAAGCCTGTTTACCCTGCCTTAGCCATTCCTTCCCTGGAAACCACAATAAAGGCTCTTGCCTCGTTTCCCCCTCTGCCTCCAGATCAACTCTGGTGCTTCCCCATGTGCCCCCTCTTCTTGGGAACTGTAAGTAACAAACTACCTTCAGTGGCAACCGTATCCTATCCTATCAGATGGCTTCACCATCCCTGAATAAAAATCTGTATTTTGAAAAATCTGGTCACTAGGAATCTCAGTATTCTCTCCATTTAGTGAAGTCTACAGGTACACTGAAAATTTACTAGACAAGTGCCCTTTATACCATTTTTTTCTAGTTAACTAACTATAACTATTACATTGCTAGTTCTATAATATACAATTATTTGAAACCTTCAAGTTTATATTTTATTATGACTTTATACTAGATTAATGGGATTTGTGAAGCCCATTAATCTCATCATTAATCTCACCAGGATGAAATTTTAAGTTTTAGGGAAATTCCTTCTGGAAAGATTTCAGATAGCTAAGCCGCTGAAATAAGATATATGGATTTGTATTTTCAGGGCACAGATGGATACTTCCTGTTCTTCAATTCATTTCAACAAAAACCTGTTGAACATTTCCCCTGCCCGGTCGGTGTCTTCAGTGCTGAAGTACAAACATACAAATATGAAAAAGATAATCCCTGCCTCCACACAGCTCAAGTATAGAGACAAGGGTCTTAAGTTCTTCTCTTTGGAATCTAATGCCAATTAGTTACTATCAGATAATCCATTAATCCATGAAAACAAAAAACAAAAAAGCTAAATATTTACCTGCAGACCCGGTTTCCCTTTGGCACTTCTGATTCTTTTCAGTACAGTTCTCACAGAGAAGCTTGTTGTTCCCCATTAATAGCTCCATAGAGGTAAACTGGTGGAGACAGGACTGAACTGAACATTCTTTAGAAGTAGTCACATAGCTCTGAGAAAGGGTCTGAAAAGCATCTTGGGGACTGTGAGACGTATGCTTCTCCTCTGAAAAATATAAATTATTTGGAAGACTTAGTGGCTGATTTTCTCCACGAAAATCTCCATCTCCAGTTGCAGCGCTGCTTAAGTGAAGCTCAGAAATAGCTGCCGCCACTCCCTCATCAGCACTCTCTGGCTCCTTGGCCGGCGGCTCGCTCGCTGGCGGGGGGCGCCCGTTGGCGGGCACGCAGCCCCCG